GAAGGTGCTGGGCTGCAAGGAGTGACCATGAGGACAAAGTTGGAGCAGGAGCAGGAGCAGCCAAGGTGAGACTCGAGGACAGGTAACAGGGCACATGGTTGGGAAGTAATCCAGGCTAGCATAGTCAGGCTAGAAGAGATATTCGAGAATCTGCCCACTACAGTGCTTTAAAGCTTATTGCAAATGTAACAGGTCTCCATCTCATTTTGGGAGAGCTAGAGTGGGCAGAGGAAAAAAACCCTTTATTTCAATACTAATCAGCTGCAATGGAAATGCAAGAGTGTCTCTCAAAAGTCCACTCTCCACTGCTGTACTAAACACCTCATGATAATTGCTCTTGTTAAAGTTCAGGGGGCTGTGTGGCACATTTAACTATGGGCATCTTTCATCTCATAGGGCAAAGAGCAATGGAGGGGGATAATGAGGATCACTCCTTGCTACTGCAAGACCCAGCTGTCTTCTAGCAGCATCGGGAACGTTTTGGAAATGGGGGCTCCCATTGCCAGTTTCCAGGTTGGCAAGATCATCAGCTGAATTGGAGGCGCATCAGAATGTGAGGAGTCCTGCCATAAATCTGTGAAGGAAGCTCCATCCCAGCCAGCGTGCCTCTCTAGCTTAGTGCTACTTTCAAGTGGATCCCTGAGCCAGCCGCTACACCCGGGGAACAACTTAATTAAAATGCAAACTCTGGAGCCTGCCCAAACATACTGACTCCAAAACCCTGGCTCCATCTTCAAGTGATTCTAATGAATCCTAAAGTTTGAAGGTTCTGATTGTAAGGCCATGAATTCCTCACCTCGGCTCCCCTGGGAAGGAGGAGACCGAAGTGACATCCTGTGGAGCCAAGCAAAGTTCACCCTCCCCTGAGCTTACCTGCCCTGGTGGAATAAAACCACCTGTCCTCTTTGTTTTTTTGTAGTAAAAAGTCAAAGCTACTCCTCCTGCCTGCCCCAAGAATTGGCTGCTTTAGGGTCTTGTGTCTGTGTGGGTCATGCGCACTAGATTCTTTAAGTCAGCACATATTTATAGGGCCAGGTGTGAGAGGATCGTGATGGAGGTAAGGGCATACATACAAAGGTGAAACCGGCTCTCACAGATAACTAGTGTGATCCTAACGGACGTGGCTGTTGGTTGGGTGTTATCGTGTGACAGTTGTTTCCCTGAAGCTACTCAATCCTTACATGCTTGAGACAGATCGGCTATTACTGTCTCATTAAAAAGGAGTGTGGAGACTATAGTTTATGCCCATAACCTTATCGGAGTTTCCTCTTAAAAGCAATCACCGAGGATAACTATTAAAACCACTCTAGGGTTGGGAGTGATGCCTCAGTCAGGAAACTGTTCCCAGGGGGAATCTGGGTTTGGATGGGTTTTGTTATTGTTGTTTGTTTTTGATTTTTTTATTTTTTAAAGGCAGGTTCATGTTCTGGGGAGACGGAGTCATGGTCAGCTCCTGAGGAATGAGGCTTGATGAACACCTCTGGCTTCCAAATGTACATATGTGAATGCCCACCTGCACAAACATATAAATGTACATGCACACAGACCTGCCCCAACATGAACACCCACCACACACACACACACACACACACACACACACACACACACACACACACAAATCACTTTGATTTAGCTGTGGGATAAACATTATTTCAAGGGGGAGCTAGACCCCCACAGAACACAGAAACCCACACCAGACAGTGTGGCAAGTTTAACAACTGCTTCAGAGTTTGCACATACTCAGTTTGGGGACTGTGGCAATACCATACTCTGCTGCCACCAACTGCTGCTCCTTAAGTGATTATAGCTCAGGTCCTAAACGGCTTTGCATCAAAGATTTGTGGAGAGAGCTATACAGACAGGATCAGGTATTTTAGAGACTTTGTGTATATGTATGTGTGTTGGCAGAAAGAGTGGATTTGAAGAAAGCTCTTGGTGGCAGAGGTTGATGGCAATACTAGAAAAAAAAAAAAAAGACAGAGAGAAAGATACCATGCTAAGCTATAGATGCCAGGTCTCTATTCAGTCTCCAAGTGACTCGCTCATTGCATGGATCTCAAGCACTCCTCTCAGGAAAATTCAGTTTTTAGAGTTGTGTGAACTCTGAACTAGAAATTCTGAACCACTTATAATCATTTAGGTAACTTTAGAGATAAATGTGGGGCCATAATTAACACTTAGCAGTAAAAGCAAAACCTTCAGACACTTCAGCTATTATTTGAAACCTATTTCAGACAGGCGGATTCTAAGTCCTCCCTGCTACTTTTAGTTTTCAAGTTGTCATTGTCACTTTAAGACTTTTGGCTTTTCCATTTCCAACCTGAAAATCCACAGCTATTATTTTTTGCCTTGGTTATGCAAGCCGTGTTGTGCCCCCTGGTGGCAATCTGGATAGGAAGATGAGAAACATATTTCAATCAGGGGGAGAGTGCCGACTTAATTGAAAAAGGTGGCAGGCCTGAATTTGAAATGGAATTTCATATCAAACTTTTCTGTTCTTACTAAAAATAGGAAACATCCAGTTAAACTAAAATCCGATGTATTAACTTCAGCCTGCGAGGTGCATATTTCAACTCCCCTGGCTTTGTCACAAAATGGATTAGCTTCTTGAAATATGTCAGTTCCACGTGAAATTAAATATTTGCTCTCCATCTAGCTAAGAAGCTGAGCTCACAAAGGAGGACTGCAGCCTGGCAGTACAGCCTTTCCTCCGCCATCGGGGCACACATGCCATACACACATGATGGTAGCTGCTTCTTCGGGGTATGCAATTCCCTGCATTACAAAGCCAGTTGGGCACCAACAATGGCATTTTTAAGAAGGCTCCAGGAAAAATCTCTAAATTTTAGAAGTTATTCTTCAGTCAGAAGAGCCAAATGGATTTGAGTAGATTATGCCTGAGGGCCTTTGATTAAATTTTAACTATTTGGAGGCAGAAGGGAATGATTAAAGACAGTCACCAGAAAATGTAGTTGGTGGGAGGAAATGTCAGAGTGCTTCCTGCTATGCTGAGAAGCCTGCTTCTGTGGCTGTATTTAGTCGCAAAAAAGAAAACTGATTCTCCCTTAAGTACACACTCGAGTGATGAGCAAGTATACAACTGGGATGGTGGTAAAGGTGAAATGCTAAAACAGGAGTCACAAGCCTCCAGAACAGTGTAGCCATGTTGAAAAATGTGTCTAAGAAATGACACAAAACAATACAAATGACAGCAGAAATAAAACTTAAAGTTACAAAACCCAAAGTGAGCCAGTGAGATGCCTCACCAGGCTTGCCATCAAGCCTGATAGCCTGAGTCTTTTCCCTTGGTCTCACATGGGGGGAGGAAAGAACTCCAGAAAGTTGTCCTTCACATGTGCACTGTGGCACATGAATGACCCCACCCCCACCCAAATAAACAAATGATATTAAAATTTTAGGGACTGGAGGGATGGCCCAGTGGATAAGAACCCTGCCTCCAGAGGACCTGAGGTTAGCTCCCAGCAGTCATACTGGCAGCTCACAACCACCTGTAACTCCATCTCTTCGGAATCCCACACCTCTGACCTCTGCAGACACCTGTATGTACTCGCATACACATATCCACATAATTAAAAATAATAAAACAAATCTAAACTATCATCTAATCTTTAAAAAGTATTGTGTGTGGACTAAGGCTAAGAAGACGGATGTTTTGCAGCAGCACAAAGTAAAGCTGTAATAAACTAAGGGGTGAAGGATGTGAGCCCATGAACGTGCAATGCACTCAGTGGGCTGGAGGGGTCCAGCATGCCTGAGAACAGTTCAAACAGGAATCAGGAATCAAATGGTCTTGAAACTCATTCAAGTTTACTTCATGCTGTAAGTGAAAGGTTAAAAAAAGTTACTTAACTGTTCTGCTTAGGACACAACTTGATACCAAGACTTTAGCAGCCACTTGACAGTGAAAGGCCCTTCATTCTACTTCATGTATTATACGGTTTTGCTACAATTAAAGTAACTTGTACAGCTTCTACATCCCTACTCTGTCTCTCTGTTATGTACTGGTTGGAATTCACAGTATTTCAATTATTGGCTATCTTGCCTACTGGATACTGTACAATTTCTCAAAATTGCATCTGATAGATTTCTACCTTCCGTTTTGTTCTGTTATCTTCAGTATATAATTTTTAAGATAGGATTGTGCTGCATAGTCTAGTTTGTCCCCAAACTTGTGATTCTCCTGCCTCAGCTTCCTAAGTGATGGGATGATCGGCATGTGCCACCGTGCCCGGTGGTATGTGGTGTCATCAGAGGAATCACCAAGACCCAGTCTGGTAAGGACAGACCACCGGAAAGAAGGCAGAACAACTGAACAAAGTCCAAACTACTCTGAACTAGCAGTTTGTAGGGGTGTGTGCCAGCTAACAAGGGTCACTGTATTCATTTCAAAAGTTTACAGGATTGGCTCCTGCGAGTTCTCGATGACATTCTGCCAGGACAGCTGGAGAAGCCAAGACATACTGCGTAAGGTCACAGTATGTCTGAGCATCCATGTGCTATTGGAACAAAGTCCTCAAGATAATAAATTCATAAAAGAGGAAGAACTATTTTGGTTCAGGTTAAATTTTCTGTCCATATCTGCCTTATTTCTACAGAAAAAAAAAACAATGCCAGTTGTGTCAAGGAAGAGATGAAAGCCTACAAACTTACTCTTTTCAAATAATTACATTAGAAAGTGTAGTATATCAGGGACTATTCCAATTTTGGTGCTAGTTCAAATTTTTGTTATATAAGTCTTCAGAGATCTTCACAATTCTTTACCTACAGAAGAGCAATAAAATATTTAGCTTGAGCTGGATGAGTGAGAATTAAATGAGCAGGCAATCAAGATGACATCAGGAACACAATCAGGACCAACAATGTGGTAATCCAATGTCAACAAAGTAACAACATCCACAGTAACAGCAGTAAAACCCAGAGACTTCAAGAACTATTTCTGTTTATTCCAACCAGTACATACAAAAAGAGACAGAGTAGGGACACAAAAGCTGTACAAGTTATTTTAATTGTAGCAAAATCCTATAATACAGGGCATGTTGGAGCCTGGGGAAGCAGCTCATTGTAGCCTGCAAGGCCCTGAGTTCAATCCCAGCACCAAGGAAAAAACACATGAAGCACATCATCATATAAAAAGACAGCAAAGACAAATGGGAACCGATGTTACCCACGTTAGTTAGATGATACTGCTGGCGTTTCTACTAGTTCCAACATAACTATGCTCAATAGACACCGACAGGCGGCAGGCCTGGAGGGCTGAGTGATCAGGGCGGCACTCTGAACATTCTCTTCTTCAGCTCAGCAGTCTTCTCTTCTATTCTAGCGCAGCACTCCTCTGTTGCCTTCTCAATGCCCTCATGGTACTTCTCCAGAGCACTTTTCAAGTTCTCAAAGATTTCCTAAGGGCAAATGACAAAGAATGACTGCACGTGACTGCCAGGGCCTAACACCGAGCTGAAAATATTCCAATGGCCGTTCATCTTAGTTCTGATACAAGGCTGGGAGAGCTTAGATTTCTAAACAGGATCAAAGACTACAGCTGTGACAGACTATGACCCATCAAGGAAACAAAAGTTTCTGAAAACTTCATTTCTTTAATTGTACAAGAAAAATCAGGTGTGTTAGTGACTGGCTTATGTGAATGCTATCTAAGCAATCAGCATATCCAACAGTTATAGATCATTTTAAGTTCCTGGTTCCACGAGGCTATGTGTTTATTTCCACAACAGGAATGCTAAATAAGTCAGGTAGAAAGATATCACCTTCGAGAAACCATCAAAACCAGGTGTGGCTAAAAAGAAACAATGCAAATACACAGCAAGCACTTCAGCACACCAAAGCAATGTTCTTCTCCTTAGAATAAACATGCTTTCAAGAAAGAACCAGTCACACAGAGGCACCAAGAGTAGAACAGGAAACCCAAATCCAGCAGCACAGTACCAGAAAAAACACAAAGCCAAAGCCCTGAGCACACACCTAGGTGCTAACGGGGATGTGATGTGGCTTTCTCAGTGCTATATATTTTAGAATAAGCAGATGAACGTCTGCACACAGTAGAAGTTTAGACCAGTCAACGAAACCTCACATATTAAAAGTCTTGCCGTGAAATCACATACTTCTAAAGTCAAAGCAAAGGGCTGCGGATGTAAAGAAAATCTAAGTCTAGTCCAGTGCTGTTCAATATAGAAGCTCTGGCCACATGGTGCTATTTAAATGTATAAGAATTTGAATTGAAAATGCCATTAGCCCCTCAGTTGCACTAGACACATGTCAAAGGCCCAAGGCCACAGTGCCTACCCACCCAGTAGCTACAGGATGGAAAGGCACAGAGCATGACTCTCGTGATGCTTTGTGTGAGTGTTGGTCTGATCATCTCATTTTGAAATTTAAATTTTTACAATATTTATGGTCTTTTACACCCAGTATCATCCACTGATCCCACATGTAATTTAATCCATGAATTGAAATACATTGATGAAAGCCAGGCACAATGGTGCACACCTTTAGCCCCAGATGAGTGCATCTCTGGGAGTTTGAAGCCAGCCTGGTCTGCAGAGTGAGTTCTAGAACAGACAGGGAAACCTGTCTCAAAAACCCCAATACTAACTAACACAAATACTATAATTATCATTATTGTGGTTATTTTCTGCGAACAGGACAATGGCAGAAGAAACATACTCTCTGAACCACAGGCACACACAGACTACACTCAGCACTGAGCACTGGACACAAGGCGCGTGCAGACGCAGCACCTCGCCTAACCCAGTGTGGTGAGCACACGTGCCACACACAACCACGCAGAAACACAGAGCCAGGATGTCTGGAAAAAGTCCGTAGTAAATGAGACGCTAGAAACCAGACACATGGACGGACTCAGATGAAGTTACGGCGAAGATGCAACTTATTCTTCATATTTAGTTAGCTTACACAAACACATTTCTGTTGACCCTGATTCCCCCTCCCCCGTGCCCTAGCCACCTCATCCCCGCTGAAGCCCACCATTGCTATTTCCTGCTCCACTCTGATACTACTTGTGCTCTACTACCCAACCTAGCCGTCTCCCTTAAAGCCTCTTTTTCCCCTTTCGTGAGCCCTTCTTTACTTACAGGTATATACACACACTCACTCCACATAAGTATACACATATAAAACTTAGAACATATGGTTTTTATCTTTCTGGGCCTGGGTTGCCTCACATGATATGGTATTTTCCACTAACATCTATACTCCTACAGATTTCCTTTTATTTGTGGACAAACAAATCCACTGTATACATGTACCACATTTTCGACACCCACCACCACTGTGTGGATCAGTGTCTGGGGTGACCAAGCATCCCCACACTGGTTTCACCATTTTACAGTCCCACCAACAGCGAATAGAAGTCCTTCAGACCACTAAAGCAGCAAAGTACTTGGTCGCACAAGCCTGGAGACCTGAGTTTGATCTCCAAAACCACGTCATAATTGAAGAGTGAACCAACTCCACAACGTCATCCTCTGATCTTCAAGGATGAGCTATGGTATATGCTCACACATATAATAATGAAATAACTTTTTCAAACTATCACATCAATCTTTTAATTGAATGTTATACATTAAAAAGAAAAAGAAAAAAATTTAAAGGGTTTCTTCCTCCCACATTCTTGCCAGTATTTGATATCAATTATTATCTTAAAGATGGCCATTCTGACTGGGATCAGACGGAATCTCAGTTCTAATTTGCATTTCCCTGATGGCTAAGGATGCTGAGGACTTTTAGAAACATTTATTGGTGACTGTCATTTCCTCTTTTGAGAACTGTTTAGGTCTTGGCCTGTGGATGTGTGTTTCTTGTTAGTGTTTCAAATCCCTCTGTGCTCCAGGTGTTAGGTCTTCTGTCGGCTCACGGTGAGCACACCCTTGCTACAGGCTGTGTTTCATCTGGTGGGCAGTTCCCGCTGCTCTGGGGAAGGTTTCTGACCTCACAAGGTGGTATTTATGGACGTCAGTCTTATTCCTGAGCAAGCAGAATTCTAAGCAGAACACCTTAGCAATGCCTGTATCTTCAAGTACTTCCCTAGTTCTTAGCAGTATCAGAATGACCTGGCTCATGTTACGGTCCTTGGAGTTTGTTTCTCGTGCAGAGTGAGAGGTTAGGGTGAGTTCACTCTTTGAGAGGTTAGGGTGAGTTCACTCTTTGAGAGGTTAGGGTGAGTTCACTCTTCCACACATGCCTGCCTTTTCTTCAGTGACTATGTGTGGCGTCTTTGTAAATAAGCTGCTGGCTGCAGCCTGGTCTGTGTCTAGATCTTCTACTTCATCTACTGATCTGAGTGTCTGTGGCAGTACCACACTGGTTTTGCTACTGACTGTAGTATAACATGAAGTTAGGTATAATTTCTGTTGGACCTTAAATGATGGAAATGATCTGCTCACCTAACAAAATCTCAGAAGCAGGGATCACAACTTTCTTGTCTTCAACTTGACTCCTCAGCCAACTGGGACCCTGCTACCTAGTAGGTGTATACACTACTTGTTAAAATACTGACTAGAAATTTTAGGTAATCCATTCATTATGAATGAATCCATAAACTGAAAGAAAATAGGGAGATCCCGATTTAATAATAAAGTACACTATTAAAAAATTGCTTGAGAAAGATAAAATTGGCACTATTTAGTATTCAATGAAGAGATTTAAAATAGCAAAATTATAGCAAAGGAAGAAACAGCATTGCAACAGTTTAGATTACAAATTATGTTATGAATGTGTGGATAAACTGGCTGGTCATGAATAGTAACACTGTGAAAAAAGCGTCATAAAATTAACTGCGTGAGTCTGAAGGACAGGGTTATCTCCAGCAAGTCCAAGATGTCAATTCCTTGTGATATAAAATGTTAAGAAATATAAAAACTTATGTCATCTTAGAAATATATCAAATATGCTAAAAGAAATTTATGAAGACATTGAATGAAACAGATAAAGTGGGGGGAGGGATGAAGACGGGATAAAGAAGATTGTGAACCTTATGTTATTTTCGTTTTGACTGGCTAGAGGAAAACAGATCTTTAAAGCTATCCAAATAAAGAGGAACCTGAAGCCAGAAGCAGGATGAATTAGCCGCAGAGGGATGTGCACAGCAGGGCAGTGGTAACGAGGGTCCAGCAGCCCTGTGTGAAGACCACTCTGACATCTGTGCACCTTGCCTCTTCATGACAGTGGCTATGAAACAAACTTAAAGAGAACTCTTGGACCAAACATCCTTGAGTTCACCCACGTATTTGCAGACATTCTCAGGCTGCTGAGGAACGAGTGAACATCAACAGACCGGGTACACGGATGGCAACAGAGCAAGCTGCACTACTGGCCTAGAGCTCTGATGATAATGCTGTGCGCTCTGGGGAAGTGCTACAATGCAGCCAGGTTCTGATTCCACTCAATGCTTTCTTTCATCCTGGAGAAAAAGGCATGCTGCTCAACTTTGCCTTTGACACCACACAATGGGAAATAATTAGTGTGGACAAGATTTAAACTGATCTTGGCATTTTGAGAATCTAGGTTGAAAGCAATATAATTAAGCCTCCAAGATATAATGCTAAGATCTTGAATTGAGAGCAATCATTTCATCACAGTATGGCACGGGGAAGGGGAAAAACTGGCAGAGTGGCATGAGAAGAAGGTGTAGTATTTAATTGATCATAATTTGAACATGAACAGAAGACGAGATGCTGCCACTGACAACCCAGACCCCAAAACAAAGCTCTGTGAAGAGAAGCGCTGGTCTTCTGGGCCACAGAACTACTTGGGAAGACTGCGGTTAGTACTGGGTTATACAAAGAAAATAATGACAGGTAAGAAATTGTCACTACAAACAGGATAACAGTGAGCCTAAAAATTAAGCACGTAAAGAATGGCTGGACAGCTGAGGCTTCTAAACCCAAATGAGAGACCAAAGGGACACAGAACCATGGTCTTCTGGGTGATTCAACAGAAGAGATTAGTCCAGAGGGAAGATCTGAGTCCACCAGAGTAGAGACATTGAATATTTTAAATTCCGAATGAGAAATAACATTTTAACAACTGCAGCTGTGGTAGAACAGCTTGCGTGGCTATGAGCTCCATCCACAGAAACAATTACCATTACACAGAGCCCATCGGTGGCTCTCAAATGCCATCCTATTCTAGAGATAAATAGACAACTCAATTAAGGGTTTGGGCCTGTTGTTGAGATTTTAATTCAATGTATTTGGGAGGGGGCTTGTTTAACTCAAAATCCCTCACTGAATTCTAACACACAGCTAGTTTTAAGACACAGAGCTCAGTGCCCTTTCAACTTTATAAATATGTATGGAAAGCAGACTATACCCAAGGCCATTTTGGAATGGTTTCACATGCCGAGCTGAGTTTTCAAGCGTGACTGGTACGATGGAAATGTCTAATATTGCTGGTGAGACACGTGTGCACAGGACTAACAGGAATATAAGGTAGACCGGGCATCTTTGTGATTAACAAAGATAGCTCAAATTCAAGCTAGTTACAAGTTTTAATCTGCTAAGAACCAGTCAGTAACTACACTTAGAGCACTGAAAACACAGTCTGACCAATTTAAGAAAGTAGGATGAAGAATCTCAAGTCTCTTTTGTGTTAGGATCTTCACAGACTGTGTGTGGACAGTGACAGACAGTGGCAGCGAGAGTTCAGCTATCACAAACCAGGCTGTTTCAGAAACAGGATACTGGAGATGAGTGGGAAAAAAAAAAGAAGCCTGAGGATTCTGAATAAAGAGTTATGGCTATTTTTAGTAAAATGTGTTTATTTAAAGACATTACTTAAATATCAAGATATTACTTAAATATCACTTTATTAAGAGTAAAATGCATCTACCTAGTGACTTCAGAACCTTTATTAAGCAACTGCTTTTACCCCAAAGAATGCTATTCTGTGATATGCTAAGAGGCAAGTAAGGAGAAGAGCATGGGAACACCCATGTCTGCAGATTATCAAAGGGTACCCAGGGTGGTAATACAAATAAAAATAAAAACGAAGGGCCTGTAGGGTCAAGTTCTACCCCAGAGAACCCAAAACCCTGTCCTGGGTGACATCATTTCCATTTTAAACTCATAGATTCTATCTCTTAGGAGCACGCACCTGAGACTTGAGTTTCTCCCTTTTCGCAGCATCTTTTAGTTGCTGAATCCCAGATTTAATCTTCTGGATCTCCAGATTAATGGTGGTCACTTGCTCATAGACAGCACCTCTTTTTTCCTGAACTTTATTGCAATCTCTAAAGGAGAACAGAGATGCCTGACATAACTATTATTAAGCATTAAAAAAAAAAACAAAAACAAAAAAACAACAAAGACTGTACTAGTGAACCCGGACCCACTGTGTGTCAGTACTTGCTCAACAAACCCAGAACATTCCCAGATATAAAAGCAAGCAGACAAATCCACAAAACCCCACAGTGTGCTGCACTGTGGTTACATTGTGGTTCGCGGTGTATGAACTACTTCATTCAGGTGGCATTCTTTGCGTTCACTTTACTTTGCAGAGCTGAGGCTCAAAGCCAGAGGCTGACACATCTAGGCAAGTGCTCCACCACCAAGCTACACTGCAGCCCTCAAAGCCTGGTCTTCCAAATAGAGGCTCAGCTGCGGTGCCCTGGTGTGTATATCTGTGCACTATTAGTGGGAATGTGGACTACTACAACTTTTCTGCACACCTGGCAACAGCGACACAATCCCCAGGTTCTGTCTTTTCCTTTCATCTACATGAAAATACGCAGACAGTCCCAATGCTACACTTAAGGACTACAGGAATGACATCCTAGATATATTTGTGGCACATATTCTAAAGGCACATTCTTAGGCTTGACAAGGGGACTCTACAGGTTTAAGAAATCCTCACTATACTACAAAAGAACTTAGCAAAGTGATAATTTTTACCTAAATAATATTAAGTTTTCCTAATGCACCTTTTTCTAGGTCACTACGTCTTAAGTACACTGAAATAAACACTAGACCCCTAACTCCTTTAAAGATTAACACAAAGGAATGGGAACTATGTGTCTCAAAAGACACTAAACAAGGAGAAAAACACCAAATAAATAAATGAAACCAGCTGTAGTCCTCTTTGTACAGATAGACTGAATTGTACGTATCTTAGTCACTAGAGGCAGAATTCTATTTTGAAAATGCAGTAGCTTTGAAAGCCCATGAGCTTTTCCTAATTGCGTCCTAATCCACTTTACTGAAATCACGCCCATACTCAATCACGGTCCGCTTGTACTGTTTTACATCCTCCTGCTTCTTGTTTATTTTGAGTCGCGTAGTGGCAAGCTTTTCCTTCTTGACAGTCATTAGTCTTTTGAGTGAATTTTCTTCAGTCTTGAGTTTCTTTAGTTCTGATGAGTCACTTTCAATTTGGTCCTCTAAGTTCAGGCTCTGTGTTTTATGAAGAACATATAAAGTCAACCCAACCAAACTGGATTCATAAGCAAAATGAAAGGGTTTTCTAGGGTGAGCTAGAATAAAACAGTTATAAAATGATAGAGAAACACAACTATGCAAGGCCAAGGTGCCCGGCAAGCAGGAAGGAGCTGCCCCTGCTGGTCTACAGGAAGGCCTGATGAAGAACAGTTGCACAGCAGCAAGACCTGGGGCTGAGTGCTGGTGTGGGAGCTATGGCAGCAGAAGGGAGAAGGGCAGACCGCAGAACCAAAAGCGGATCTGCCCTGTGACCCCAGATGATGGATAAGACTATATGCTAGGAAAAGAAAACCTCCTAGCCCCTGTACTTCTCTCTCTCTCAAAAACAACAAACGTTTACTGTAATGTTAGTGATCCTGGGAGTGGCCTGGATTAACATGTGAAAAATCATTTCAAGCATCTGAGAAACCAAAATGGCAACGCTCCTTCTCATTACTCAGGGGAGACTGCCTTAAGCCTGACATCTCTATTAACCCTAGGTGCAGTGCCGGGAACTGAGTGGGGAATGTATGCCACTGATGATAAGTGATCATATCTGTTAGAACAAGTTAAAAGGCTCATTACTACATTCCAAACTGTACGCTACCACGTGCCATGTTAATTCATTACTCATTTCATCTGAAGGTTACAATACATCTTGACATCCTGAGGGTTAGGGGGAGGTGCCTTACTCCTCAGCACATACGACTAGAGAACAACCTAGCTTCTGTTTAGGAAGATGGTAACGGAAGATGAAAGTGGATCCAAAGCTCTGTAACAGAGATACTGCACGATACAAACCTCCTTTAAAATACTGCTTAGCTTCTCCCTGTTCTCTGCAATGTCCTGTATTTTCTTCTGATATAACTGCACCTCCAGCTGACAGGAAGGCAGGCATTCCACAGAATCTCTATAGACTTCATACTTCTCCATCACTTCTTGCTTTGGGAGGGGGAAAACAAACAAACAAACAACAGTTTGATATTCTCTTTTATGAAACTACAAGATCAATTTGTTTGCTCTTCAATAATTTCTATATTTGCTACTGAAAGCTCAAGAATGTACAGTGAAATTTCTAGGTCAGTAGCAAGGCATTACTACTGACACACGTCAAACACATAATGATGTCCCTTTTAAAATATTACTGATTTGTTTTATGTGCATATTTGATCTGCCTGCATATATGCCTGTACACAGAGTCCATCCCTAGTGCCCAGGAGACCAGACAAGGGCATTGGATCCTCTAGAAGTGGAGTTGCAGGCAGTTGTAAGCCTCCATGCAACCGTTAGGCCCCAAACCCATCTCCTCTTGCAGAGCAGCTTTTAACTGCTAAACCATCTCTCCAGGTCCCTAATTATGCTTCTGAAACGCCAAATATCCTTAACAAAGAAAACTGCCACTACTTCACCACCTGGCAATTCCCTGCTAACTGCTTAAAGATTCTTCATGGGGAGGGAAGGAGCACACTCTGGCTGGGCAGAGCTTGGCTGGCACATGCTTGTCCTGTGCCTATGAAGCCCTATGGCTTAATTCTCAGCACCAAAACAATCACAGGCTTGTTCTGCTGATTCTCAAACTACTTCAGAATACTACAGGAAAGTCGTATTATCTGTGAATAATCTTTGTTTAAATATAACTATTATTAACATCTGATTCTTAAAAAGATAAACTCCTCTTTTAAAATTATTTAAAAAAAAAACATATTTACTGCAACCACACACCAAGGCAGACCTCGTTCCTTCTCTGCACTAGGTTGCTCCCTGCTTTACTTTACTAACCAGTGAAACTTCTCCTCATTGAAGACCTAACCATAGGGCTCATTTTTTTTCCTCTCTCTCTCTCTCCCCCCTTCACCTCTGCTGTCGCTCTTTCTCTCGATAATGAATTTGTAAATACTCTTTGTATATAATGGATCTAATCCCTTTGCCTTCAAGTTGTAGTTTGCTTCCTGTTGCTGAGATAAAGCCTGCGACCAAAAGCAACCTGGGTTTTCTGGAAAGACGGCTCAGTGGTTAAGAACACTAGTTCTCCCAGGACCTGGGGTTCAATTCCCAGCATCCACATGCTGATGAACAACTATCAATAACTTCAATCCCAAAAGATCTGAGGTCCTCTTTTGGCTTCCAAACACACCAGCCCCACATAGTACACATGCAGGGAAAACACCCATACATATAAAATAGTAATTAATTAAGCAATCAATCAATCAATCAATCAATCAATCAATCAATTATTTAATAGCAGCACAGAGAGAAAAGGGTTTATTTTAGCTTACAACTTACAATCCATCAAGAAGGGACATAAGGACAAGAACTCAAGGCAGGAACCTGGAGGCAAGAACTGAAGCCGAGCCATAGAACACTGCTTACTGGCTTGCTCAGCCTGCTTTTTCAAGAAGACCCAGGACCCACCGGTCCAGGGGCAGCACAGTGCTCAGTGAATCAGGCTCTCCCACATCCACCATTAACCAAGGGATGTCTCATAAACTTGCCTACCAGTCAAGCTGATGGAAGCAATTCTCAGTTGAGAGGTTCTCTTCCCAGATATGTCTAGGTTTGTGTCAAGTTGACACAAACTAACCAGAATACTTCATAGGCACAGAAAATGTGTTTTAGTAGATCTTTTCATATTAATCTCAAGACATTTAGACTGTACTATAAGCCTTCGGGAGGCTGAGACAGGAGGCTCAGGAGTTCCTGGTTAGTCCAGGCTAAAAAGCCATACTGTGGGGGCAAGGTGTGTATTCCATTTGGTGAAGATTATATAAATGTTTTAAATCTGTTAAGATTTTAAATTTCTAATTCTCATAAAGATTTATCTTCATAAATGGCTCAGCTTTTTTAAATTTCCCTTAGAGGAACAGCTAACTAAATAGAACCCTTTTTGATGGGGGTGGGTCAGATTCGGGGCGTCCACAAGCTGAGCAAGCACCCCCACCTATCACTTAGTTAAACCCTAGATCCACCAGAACTGTTTTTAAATAAGCCAGCCATTCCCCATAAATTCTCAACTCTATTTCTGGGCTCTGATTCTGTTCTGGTGATTTTTCTCTCCTTATTTGTGACTATTTTTATTATAGAGAATTACTTGGATAATAAGGATAGAATTTCTTTTTACTGATATGTATAAATCCTTACTTCAAAAAAATAAAAACAAAAGACATTTAGCAAACGAACAAACAACTTGTTTGATCACCTCTAATTTTGTCCTGCCCCACCTCAGTCCACCTCTCAAAGTAGCACCTGGCCTTGAACATATTTCCTTTGCCTTGAATGATTAGGTGCCGAGACAAATTTCCACTCCCCTCTCCCACCTGATTCCTCCAAATAGTTTATAAACTGAGTTCTCTCATTCTGGTGTTTCAAAGCATCCTCTATTTTTTAATGCTGATTTTAAAAACCGATTTAACTATTTTACCACAGTTTTATATTTGAAGCAAAAAAACGATCAGGGGAAACAAAAATGTGTCATATATTCCCCGTGCTCACCAACACACACACTCTATGAGTTCAGAGCTCACACTGTAGTTTTTAATTTTTTGTAAAACTGTTGGATCCCTTTCTCCTCCAAAGGTAAGTGACTGATCCTCTCATGGACACAGCATTCCACCAGATCCACCAGAACAGCCTTAGATTTGTCGTGTGACTCAACAGCTGTCCTGCAGTTGAGTTTCTTCCCCTCCACCCACACGAGTCAGAGACAAGTAACTAAATTCAGAGAGTAACACATGACAAAGGGCCTCACCCTGGAGTTCCGGAGCTTCTGGACAGTGTCTTTCATCTTCTCTTTATAGTTCTTCACCTTCTCTGGAGAGTCCACGATTTTGCTTTTCAAGCTGTCTTGAACTTCTTTCAAAGAAACCACTGACAACTTTAGTTCATTCTGTTGAAAAGCATTTTCCCCAATCAGGTAGGACAATAAAACTGTTACTCACCCTCCCTTTCAATCACAGAACATCTTTGGCTCATGTCTGTTGTAACAGGGTAAACTGACTTCTGCCCACCCTGCCCTGCTTCATGGCTCCAGCTACAGACCAAGTTCCTCAGTGTGACACTTAATGCCTTTGCTGGCATTTGTGAGAGCAGTATGGTCCTCCTAAGATGCTGCAGCATCCTATTCTTAAGAGCATCCATGGATACATGAAAACTCTCCTACATCCTTTCCGTAAGCAACACAAGTACACACAACATTAACATTATTCATTCGATATGTTTTCATATTAACTGCATGACCTGGCTGGAGTTCTAAAAAGTTACTTTGTTCCTCTGGTACCCAAAGTAATAGCACATAAGGTGTGTGCAAGGTAAGAGATCATGAGGAAGGTGCGGCCAGCCAATGTGGGCTGGAAAAAGGAAGCCTTTCTCTGTATTTGAAATCTTTTGTATTTTTTTTTTTTAGTAATTTATGACAAAATGTGTAAGGCTTGTATAATTCTTCTCAAATTTTTAACTTAAAAAATATCCCTGAGCTGTTAAAATAGCTCAGAAGGTAAGGGTGCTTGCTGCCGAGTCTGCTGACCTACAGACACGGTGGAGGGAGAGAACTAACTCCACAGAGTTCTTCCCAGCACATCTTCCCCGCCTCCCTGAATAAACAACAGTGCCAAGAGAGCAGGAACACTAAAACTGCGGCTAAACATTTTAAAGACAATCACACATATAAAAACAGTAAGCCTCGACACAAACAGCTTAATGCACATAATAAGAATTGTGAAGCTGGTCCAAGACCACTAGAATAAAAGAAGCCAAACTAAAATGAGATTTTCCCATTACCAGAGGGTAAGAACAACTTCTAAAAGAACAAACATTGAAAACATTTATTTTTAGCAAGTGTAGGGGAACAGACATACCTATATTTTGTTGCTAAAAATAAAAATCAGAATCTTTCTAAATGTGAGTTTGACAACATGAGCCGATTTTAATTATCCTGAATTAGTATTTTAGGAGAGACTGATGAACAAATGTACATGTTTACACACACATAAAATTAACAAAAATAGAAGCAGTTTGGAAATCTATCAAAAGAGTGAAAATATGTATAGTATAATGCGTATGCATCCATGAAACCATAATGCATAGCCACTGACATGAGAGGCATTTGGAAGCTCCTGATTAACTGTCTACACTCTACTCTTAAGGGTGTGTGTGAGGCTGAGACACGTTGAGGATAATATCATTTGTGGAAGATCACATGGATATATGTATATTAGAAAAATAGTCTATTATATGCTATGTTTATGCTATAGATAACACACAAACACATATATATACCAGATCATATATAGTTAACTTTGGGTCCTTTTTACTTGCTTTATACATTTCTGCATGTCAATGTTGTTTTCTTCTTTTATAATAGTTTCTATATTTAAGTTGAAAAAAGTTAAAATTTTTTTTCATTTCAGGGGGAAATATGACGGAGAAATACTGACAATCACACAGCAAAACACTGCAGTATACTCAAACATTAAATGCTAGGTAGGAGAAGCTGCTTACCAAACGCTTGTTTTTCTCTGAAATATCTGATTTCTTTTGGGCATTTCCCTCCTGTAGCAGTGTCTATGAAAAAAAACAACAAAAAACAACTGTGTTATAATGATTCAAAACATTAAAATTAAATCACTTTATTATATTCCTCATATAATAAAGGTTGAAAAGAAGAAAAAGTGATGGTCTCCTTTTTCTTTTTCAGTACAGGAGTCTGAGAGTCCCTTTCCTAGTCCTGGTGTGAGTCTCGTAAGCGTAAAAGTGGATTAAGAAACACTCTGGATTGGTGAAGGCACTAATCAGTACGCCTGTGAAGGGCATTCTGGAGGCAACTAGCTCACAAGGACTCTGACCTAACCGATGGTCCAACCTACTGATGGATCAAATCTGAACAAGTTCCTAAGGTAACGGAGCGTCCTGCCTGAGGAAGCAGGACCCCGGGAGGGTGTGCGCTGCCTTGACACGTTGGGAACGCTCCTTTCAGCTTCCTGTCCCCGCTACATAAGCTGCTCTAGCATGCTTCCCATCCATGATGACTGACCCCTCTGTGACCGTGAGCCAACATCAGCTTCCCCTTGTTTATCTCAATACTTCAGTAATAATGAAAAAGCAAAACATAATACAAAAAGATAAATAACTACATAATCTGTCCTAATGCCACAGCAGCATTTCAAAAATTAATGTGCAAATAAATAGTTTCTTCCTAAACAATAACTACTAACTCATTAGGTGTGTGTGGTAACAAAACTTCAGACAACATTCAGTCAGCCGAGACCCCAAAATTATCATTTCCTCTTATACTGATGTGTACTTTTTTTTTTTTTTTTTCCAAATTATGACAAATCCCCAAACCCTAGCTTCACGGATATACAGGGAAGTACCACGAGCTAACACGGAAGCTGGGAACTAAGTATCTTGAGCTAGTGTAGGCTAATGCTAAACACTACCATATTTTTCATAAATACACAATAAACTGACCCAACACCCAGCGCTTACGAGACTCACACCAGGACTAGGAAAAGGACTCTTGAGGGTTTGCTCCAGGGCCCATGGTGCCACAGCCCCAACACAAACACAAGAGAATACTCAAGAATTCTACGCATCCAGAATGCATACAGCATTGGCAATACAGACAGGTGCAGGGGCACATTGTTTCTTCAGCAACTGAAAGCCACGTTTTCCTCAGCTGCTTGCACCCACACAGCACGTGTTAAAGGTCCTACAGATACCGTTTTCTGCCGAAACTCCTGGTTCAGCAAGTGCTGCAGCTCCTGAATGTCATCCATAAGTTGCTTGAACTCTTCTTGCTCTTCAACTGGAACTGAACTAAACAAGCAAGACAGATCATAAGAGGGTTTGTTGGGGCTAGGGGGAGGGCTCAGCAGCTAAGAGCACTTGCTACCTTTGCAGAGTACCGGGGTTCGAGTCCCAGCACCTACGTGGTCACTCACAATCAGCCCCACTCTCGGCTCTAGCGTCAACAGGCACACACGTGATGCACATACATGCATGCTGGCAAAACATTTATACTCACAGAATAAAAACAAGTAAAGGGTTTGGGAATTCCTAATTTTGAAAGGTACAAATAAAACCTGTGCCTTTGATAACTAAAGGGTCTGATTCCTTGTTTATTTTTTAAGATTTATTTATTTGATTATATATACAGTGTTCTGCCTGCATGTATACCTCAATGCCAGAAGAGGGCACCAGATTTCACTATAGATGGTTGTGAGCCACCATGCAGTTGCTGGGAATTGAACTCAGGACCTCTGGAAGAGCAGCCAGTGCTCTTAACCTCTGTGCCATCTCTCCAGCCCCTGATTCCTTGTTTCCAAATAACATACTTTCAAGACAACTATTTACTAGATGGCCTTTATCTTCTACCGAAAGGAAAACAATGAGATGAAAGCCTTCAACTTTCTACCACCTCACCAGGCCCACATCCACATACCCATCCACTATCACCCCTACCAGAACGACCAGAGCATTCCTCTCTTGTCCAGCGCTAATTTCCCTAACTTGGCCCTGGCTCCCAGCACTACAGTTTCCAGTCCAGGGACAGCTGCTCTCCACACTACCATCCTTTCCATCAGTCTACATAGCCAGGTCGCTTCCACACAAAGGTTGAAGTTTTACTTTAAACTGTCTAACATGTTATCAGTTTTGATTCTGCCTTTGTGTATGTTTCTATGAAGCTGACTTTTCCCCTCAGTCTGTAAGAATTCTTCATATACTAATGAGTTCCGTCACCAGGGTAGCAATGCTTTGCATCACTTACTCCCAGCTGTCATTTTCTTGTGATTTTGTTTGTAATTTTTTTTTTTTTTGCTAAGTTATAGTATGTGTCTCTCATTCTCAGTCTCTTAGCTTACTGTTGCCTACAAAAGCAATTTTACCAGAGACCTTAAACAGACAACCTCAAAGACATCAACAGATTAGAATCAAACAAATAAAACCTGACTGCTCAAAATCGGCGCAGACAGTCCTCAATCTATAATGGCTCCATAGAGCAATTTAATTACAATAGCACAAAACAGCACACACTCAGTAGGAACTGTACTTCAAATTTTGATCTGTTTAAAAAGGGAGTGACAGAGGGGGCGGGGGTTGCCCGGATCTGGGCTGTAGCTCCTGGTGGGAAAGTGATCAGTCTCTCCCCATGGGACGAAGCTCTGCTGTGCTGTCATGTTCAGTGCGGCAGGTGCACAACACAGTAACGAGAAAGAAGCAATGAGAACATAACTCAGGGGTAGGGAGGGAAAACCTAGTTGTGTTTTTAGAAACAGGGACTGAAATACCCTGCCATTTATCCAGAAAGACAGCAAGACTTGGTGAGGACAGCGGCATTGAAATCAACCTCTTACTACTTGGTTTGCAAACTGGCAACTGTATTCATCTTATCTGTAACGCTTTCACTTACTTGAGTTTTTCCAGTTTCATCAATGCTTCCTGGTGTGCACTGTTTAACTGCTGCATTTTGTCCATAGAGGATTTCTACGAATGCAAGGTAACCTCATATTAGCATGTTTTAATAGATAAGAATTTTTAAAAACTTACAAACACAGACTACAAAATATTTGTTCACCATCAAAAATATTAAGTTTGGGACCAGGCCTCTAAGAGCATTTGGTCTGCAACCATGATAGCTCAAGTGTGAATTCCCAGCACCCACATAACATGCCTGTCACCCCGACAGTGGTGGGCATACACAGGTGGATCCAGAAAGCCCTCTTTGGTCAGACAGACTAGCCAAATGAGCAAGCTTCTGGCCCAAGGAGAGACCTCGTGCCAAAACAATATGGTAGGGAGGATAGCAGTAAGATTGAGAAAGCCAGCTGGTGCCCTGCTCCTGCCTGCACCCTCACACTCAAGTAAATGCAAGTACCACACATGTCCAACCCATGCCAACACACAAAATAATAACAATGAGGTACAGTGGCTGGCACTTAGGACAAATGAGTTGAGAGTAGGTTTTCTCCATTTTAAAATGCTGGAGAGGTCTTGTGCATCTTAGGTACAACCGCTGAGCATTGTTCCCAAGACTTTCTTTACCTGACACAAATGGCCAGACACTTTGTTTGATATGGACAATTCTTAAGAAAAAGTCTTGTTGGTCCTGGGCATAGTTCTAGCTCTTTGAGCCACCCGTGAAAAGCTACGAAACAACCTCCTAAAGCCCTGTAAGTAATGGGAATAGAGACACCGGTCCCCACATAGGCAGTGGCAGGATGAACAGTCACTCGGGTTCTTAGAAATGAAGTATCTGTGCTGTGTCTTTTAAAAAAGGAGAATAAATAGCCAAACAAACATGTGTGAGGGTGTGTGTGTGTGGGGGGGGGGTGGATCTGAGTATTTGTGAGTTATGGAGAATCTGTCAGGTTCAGGAGTGTAAGCTTAGCCTGATTTGTACTGAGAAGATTTTATCCAGTTCTGTGTAGCTGAGTCTCCAACAGTCTGATACAACCTGGTATTTTCTAAGAGTACAGCACTTGCACAGTAAGAGCAATGGGAATGAATCTCTTAATAATCGTGCATAATTGTCATAACATCTGTACGCTGTACAACGAAAACAATCTATGTGTTAATGTGATGGCACTGGACTGCATCTTATGCAGTGAAGCCAGGTGGCAAAAGTGACACAGATAACCCAATTTGGCTCTGATTAAAAGGGCAAACAAATTTCAAATATCTCAGTTATTTAAATAACACTATGCATCTTTGTAGTCTTCTGGAAAAAAACAAAACAAACCCCAAAAAACTATTTCCTAAAGCAGGGAATAATGTCTCAACTAAACATTAAAACAAAATTCTGTGTTACCAAGAATATAACATTTCAACATATCATCCCCAAACTAAAGTCTTTCTTGTATAAATATAAAACCAAATTAAATTCTAACAATTATCCAACAATTGAATCTGACAAAATTTCAAAGCAGATTATTAATTCATATATGAGATTGATTATCTGATATGTGTCTTAAAATATACTTAAATCTTACATTTTGCAAAAGAAATTCTGTATACATCTCCCGGCATGCTTCTCGGAAGTGAATAAAGTTGATAATGCCACTTAAAAACCGACTTGTCCGTTTTGCTTCTAAAATAGAAAACAATGCTCTAAACTGTTAAAACAACAGAATATATAAATATATCATTTCTTCCTATAAGACTTGGCTCACAGCATATAAAACTATATGCTTTTAACAAGGTGCAGAACATCTCTTAACTTAGACTGGAATTACCTTTGTATATAGAAAGAAGGGGAGAGGTGAAGAGAGGGAGGGAGAAAAATAAACTAGTTTGGGTTATACACAGGAGAGCAGAGACCATGACCCTGTAATCTTAAAACAGAAAAAAACAAATAATAAATAAAACAAAAACTTCAGCAGCAGGGCACATGCAATGTGGGACAGAAACCACCTTTCAAGAGAAAGCCTTATGAATGCACCTGCCCTCAAGAGAGAACACCAACAGAATTCGTAGTCTTATGCAGTCAAGAAAATTTTGTTAATTCTAGATGGAGTAACTAGAATTAACAAAACTAAGAATTTCCAGGGTAGAAGCTGTGGAAAGTTAAAGAGATCTGGAGGTCTCAAAGAAACTGGTTCTAACCAGCATACGGACATGAAGAGAGGCTAAGAGAATGTGGACATAAGGCTAAGAGAATAACAAGAAATATTTAAAATGATAAACAAAAGCATCCAAAATTAAATAACATGAAATTTCCAATCTAAGAAAAACAAAAAAGCAAAACCAGAACAATCTGATCTATATAAAAGAAAAAAGAAATCAAAATCTCCTGAAATAGCACCAATGACAAATATAGTAAATTGGGTCATGAAAATGTCCCATCTGGTCAAGAACATGGAGCCTTATGAAGGTAAGAGACGGTCCAAGCAATACCCGAATCCAACTCTAAGAGCTAAAACGGAAGGTATCTGAAATAAAAATTATGCCATGGGGATAGCACCAGCACAGCAGACCTAGAGATGAAAGGGTTAGTGAAGAAGAAGAGATGGGAAGGGAAGCTCTGGGATGAAGGCCAGCAAGGAGAGCAGCCACCACCACCTCTGAGCAGAGGCAGGGTCAGCAGCATCTGAAGTCTGTGATGGACTCCCACGGAAAGGAGGAACAAAAACTACATTCAGGTAGCTAAGAAGTAGTAATAAAACTTAAAAGCAAAGACAAGAAAATAAAACAGACACACTAAATGGAATAAAGATAAGAATGGGTTTCTTGTCAGAAACAAGGGGAACCAGAATATAATGAAGTAATAAGTCTTTCCCTGTAGCAAGGTTTTATTTATTTATTTATTTATCTATTTATTTATTTATTTTTATTGGTCTTCCTTATAGCATTGTTTCACAATGCTAGCAGGCCTTTCAAGCACTGGGAGAGCTGTCAACTTAGAATTTGATAATTATGAAAATTAGCTTTTAACACTGAGGGTAAAGCATGTATGTCAGGACACAGCAGGATCCAACACTCAAGATACTCTGGCCAGATCATTTCAAATTTTAGGCCAGCCTGGTCTATACAGTAAGGCCATGTCTAGAAACACAACAAACAAGGAACCAGAGAGACAGCTCAGGGGCTAAAAGCACCTGAGTGTGGTTCTTGGAACCCATGCGGTACTCACAAACATGGGTAACTCCAGCTCCATGGATCCAACAACTTCCTCTGGCCTACATGGGCACTAGGCATGCACATGGTATATAGCATACGTGATAGAAACAAAAATAAATCTTTTTAAAGCTGTTTTTCTTAAAAAATCCAATAGCCAAAATAAAGTAAGAAATAAAGAAAATGGAAATCGGTAAATACTATAGAAGAGGACCTCCCCTATCAGTGGACTTGGGGAGGGGCATGCATGAGGAAGGATCGGGAGGGGAGGAGGGAGGGGCTTATGGGGGAATACAAAATTAATAAAGTATAATTAATAGTAAAAAATGAAAAAATTAAAAAAAAAGGCAGTGAGGAAGAAAAGAACAAATTCACAAAATACTTTAATATCTCAATCCAGCAACTGAGAGAAAGTCTGGGGGACACTACTAACCAACTGGTGCAAACACATGGAATGCCCCACTGGGTGACAAAACCCAGATGCATGCTTTGCAGCAGAACACTGCAGGCCATGGGGATGCACACTCAGGTCCCAATACTTGGAACCCACATCACAAGATCTCACTGTAGAGTGGCAGAGTATGACGCTGTGTCCTCTGCGGAGAATAGAAGAGTCAGCCTAACAAAGACTAGATCTATTCTACAGAGAGAGAAGAGCATCAAAAACCACAAAAAAAGTGACCGAAGGGCTACTCAACACATAAGTAAACAGCACCGGGCTCCATCTAAGATAAAGAAGCAGCCTACTGCACAGCAACAGTGGAGCAAGGGCAGAAAACGGGCTGCATGAGCTCGTGCCATGCGCCTGATTTCAAGTCTCACCAGAAGGCAGGGTACTTGGTGTGAAGACAGACATCTACAAGAGTCGGGCATGGAAACTGAATACCCAGACAGAATTAAGCCAGAGCCTAGAGAATAGCAAGCTCTGAAGTGTGGCCAGTTGATGTCAAAAGTTTTCCACGCACAGCAAAACCCGAGCAGGGATTGGGTAGTTCTCAATATCCCATTAGACCCTGTCTCCCAACATCTGCACGAGTGGCATTTTCCTTGGGAGTGAGGCATCCGCACCAACACAGCGTTCTCTCTGCACATCTGCATAGCTGCTGCTGCATTGCCCGGGGAATGTGACAACTACAGAATGGCATGCAAACACCATCGCTGTAGTACACGGCGGCTTTACTGTCCTAAAATGCCTTTGTGTTCTAGTTAATTGTTCCTCTTTCTCCACTAAGCCTCACAATTACTAGTTTTTTTTTTTTCTCTCGGGCACATAGTTTTGTCTTTTACATGTCATACAGCTATGTAGCCTTCTCAGTTTAGTTTCTTTTACTTTATAATATACATTTCTGGTTTGTCTGTGTTTTCTCAGAGATTGATAGCTGATTTCATTTAGCACCAAATAACATTCTGCTGCCTTGAGGTAGTCTATTTACTGACCCACTGAAAGCCATGATGGTGTCTGAGATTTAGAAACTGTGAATAAGGCTGCCACTAGCATCTCTCGTTTGGCTTTATGTGAACACAGTTTGAATCCTTTTCAGTAGATACCAAGGAGTCCACCTCCTGGATCACACAACAGGAACAGGTTTCATTTTGTTAAAACTGCCATAGTGGCTGCACCCTTTGCGTACTGCCACAGGCAAAGAACTAGGGTGCCTGCTGCCCTGAGTCCTTCTCAGCACTTCAGACCATCATGTTTTGGAGTTTGTTGTCAGTTTTAATAGATATGCAGTAGTATTCCAACTGACTTTTTTTTTTTTTAAAGTATCAAAGTAATTTAATGGGGAAAGGTAATGTTTCAACAAGGAGTGCCAGATTAACAACACTTACATGCAAAAGGAAAAAATATGAAGAGTGACTCAACCATATACAATAATCAAAACACTAAATATCAAAGCAAGACAATACTTTCCTTCCCCCAAGTACATGGAGGCAAATCTCAGCAACTCAGATTAAACTAAGATTTCTTAGCTTAACATAATTTTTTTTAAAAGTCAATTATTGAAAACTGATATTTATTCTGCTCTTAAAAGATAACTATAAAATTGAAAAGGCAAATAACAAAGTAGAGGAAAATACCTCCATTATCAACAGATAATTTATTTGAAAAATAACTGAAGCATGACTAAGATAAACAAACAAGGTACTGGAGAGATGGCTTAGTGGTTAAGAGCACTGGTCTTCCAAAGGACTCATGTTTGATTCCCAACACCCACATGGCAGCTCACAACCCTATGTAACTCCAGTTTCAAGGAATCTGACACCCTCTTCTGAAGTCTATGAACAACACATACACACAGTACACAGATATACATGCAGGCAAAATACCAAAACCAAAACAGTCTTAAGTTAAAAAACAAACAAACAAACAAAACCAAAAATAAATGACTCGAAAAGAACTCTATCAAAGAAGATATATCATAATTAATAAGCATATGAATATATGCTCAGTTTTATTAGTCGTCGCAGAAACAAAAACTAAAACCACTACAAACCCTATAGAATGGCAAAAGTTAAAAACATAATACTCCAACCAAGGTGGCACAGCCACTTTGGAAAAGTTTAGGAACTTCTTAAAAAGCTAGGCATGCACTTATCACATGAATCAGAACCTCCACTCCTCAGTCTTTATACAGAGAAATGAAGTCATATCCACACAGCTCTAGAAATAACAATATTCATAGCTGCCTTGCTAATAATGGCCAAACAGTAGAAACAACTCAAAAAAGAGAAAGAAACAAAGGACCAATAACGAGTTAATATGAATAAATTTCAAAAGCGTTGTTTAAAGAAGTCAGACAGACAAGACTGTACTATATGACTCTGCTGTATGGATGAGGATGAGTGGCCAAGGTGATAACATACACATCAGTGCTATCAGAGAGTGGCGCCCACAGGGGACTCACAGCAAAGGAACATAAGAAACTTCTGCAGGTCCTAGAAATGTTACGCACAATTACAGGGTGTACTACAGCAGGGTAGCGTCAGAGGTTCAAAATAGGCTTTTCATGGTAAAGAGTAATTGCTAATTTGATAACTTTGGCCAGATTACCACACTATCCAACAGCATATCTGCACATCATTTGAATCTTGACTCCCTATGTTTAAATGTAACCTTGTGATTGTATTGCTTAATAACAAAATAGGCTCAGAACTGGATCACCTTGAGCTTACGCTTATCTCTGCTCGCATCTGTTAAAAGGCAGCATTCTCTTAGACCTGCATCTAGGCTCGGCTACTCAAGCCCCAGTGTAGTCTTAGCCTTCTGTGGAAAAGAGGCTTAGTCTGCTTGCCACCAGCACTGTTTCTCATCAGAACCTCATGCTCCAGGCAGACAGAGAATCTCTGCCCATTTTGTACTGTCTCACTTAACTGGGCTGGTGCTTGTCACATTTCTTAGACAAAGTCCAGGGAGCTTTAGGAGCACCCATCATGTTTGTCAAGGCAATATCAACACAGAAAGAAAGCTATCTTCCAGAATTTTAGAAACATTTAAAAATCATGAAGCTTTAAGAGAAATCAATTTAAGAAATTAACGTTCTAAAAGATTTTCCTCATATAATTTTCTTTTACATTTACTGGCAGAAAAAGAAGATGGAAAACTAAATGATCAGAAATATACTTACTTGGATAAAGAATATCAGCTATCTCAAAGTCATTCACGCGGCAAATCGGCATAAATGAATCCCTTGAAGATGCAGAACAGTGAAGAGCAGGGACATTAGATACTAAAGCCCACAATCCCAAGCATCTTATCCTCAAACCTATTTCTGGATGTATTTCTCAGTGTTCAAGGGCCAGGAAAGGGCAGAAGCCTACTTCAATGCACAGCCCTGCAGCACTGGCATCTGCTTGTATAATGCACTAGTATTCATGCAACACCTATTTTTTCCTGCACGTTACACCGATATTCATGCAGTATCAAGGTAGTTGTAGACTTAATAAACAGCGTATATTCTTGGTGATGCTAAGACTCTTCAGGAACACACATAAGCTAACAAATAATTCCAGACTTAAAGCATCTTAGAATGTCGGGTGAAAGCACCCTGAGGAGTCTGAGAGGGGAAGATTGAATACAAGTGGGAATTCTAAATGCATCTGAGATAAAATAGAGGGAGCTGTTCTTTCACAAAGATCACACCCTTCTATGAGTTTAATGTAACATAGATGGAAAACAAACCACCCTTTACTCACAGATGAAAGTATAAATTGCTGACTGGTAAAAAGCCCTCCATTATATGTGGGTACATGACTTCAATGTTCACCGGCATCTGAATGAAATAAATCGGAAGATCTAAGTCACAAGTCAATTCGACGAAATGAGAAGCATCTTGAGGTATAAGAAACTTTGATCACAGGATATGATAAAATGATATTAATTCATTACCACTAAATCTGAAAACAACACAACTTCTAGGGCACAGCTGGGGTTGACAGTAATACATAATGTTCAGTTCCCAGTGGGCACTTAATGAAGATTTTTAAATGAATGGAAGTGACATCAAGCCCTATGCTATACTTCATGGTTCTGTTAACGTTTATAACCCTGCGTCAGAGGGATACCTCCTTTTGTCAAAACTAAACGTTTGCAAAGTTACACAGTAAAAAGAGGGCAGTCTTTGATCTTTAAAAGCTCCACTCAGAAGCTAAGAGTGGTAGTATGTGGTTATAATTCAAGCACACAGAAATATCATGAGTTCAAGGACAGCACGGGCTACCAAAACAGTGATAAAGAAACCCTGATGAAACCCACAGGCATGACATTGTCATGGGTCCTCAGATGATGCCCTGATAACTTTATCAGAAACATAAGTAAGAAAAATGGTATTTCTTACTAGAAATACCTTTGCCTCATTTCAGTTGCATCTATCTTACTACCTATCCTCTATCTTCGATTTTAGTCTTAGAGTCCTTCCTACAGAAAACATTTTTTTTATTTTTATTTCCTGAAGACCTGGCAGTTGTATACTAAGGTCTCTGAAGCCAAACCTACATATCTGTGAATAAACTGTAAAGAATCAGTAACTCCCATATGTCATTTGATCTTTCATTATAGTCTTCATCTTATTAAAGATTCTCATGTAAACTATCATGCCTAAAGGCGTTTGTGAGTGCAATTTTCTGTAAGCCTTTACCGTTGTTGGAAATAGCCAAGCAATCCTCATCCTTTGCGGCAGCATGTGCTGTGATCAGAACTGCTGTAAAAATGAAAGCAAATCACACTTTTACCTCTTCTTAACTCACCATGTAGAAGTGCTCCAGCCGGATCCCATATACTATTTGTAAGGCTCTCATGTAGATCATGTACAAGACCTCAGGCTACAACAGAGAAACAACAGTCAGTGTCCTAGGCAGAGAGCTGTCATTACCCTCATCACCAGCCAATGCGCGGTCAATGGATTCAAAAAAGAAAAGGTGAGAAAATCACCTGTTTCCCCTCAAAATGCTTTATAGTTTAGGCAAAATTTAAGAGACCTTATGGTACATATCAGTTTGTTCATATGTAGTGAATAATTAAGGAAGCTGGTTACTTTTAAATGAGAGTTAGCCTATCCAAACCCAACCCAATAAATCCACCCAACCCAGGCAGGGAGAAAGGTGACCTTCAAGAACTCTGTCAGGAATATGGAAATGCTGGGACACTCAGGATTTTGTTTTTATTTTTTAAAGAAAGACCACAGGGACTAGCCTGTAGCTATGGATAGAAGATGACCCCAGATTTCAGTTTAACTGCAACACTTGGAATAATGACTTTAAAATTAATGGAGAAATAACAGGATATAAACCTTATCCTCTAAGTTAGTAGATCCCAAATGCTGGCCTGAGGATTTGTTTACTGTGTACTCAACCTTACTGTGGAAACAGAAAAGCCTAAAATACAATAAAATTGTAGTAATGTTTTCCTAAAGCTACATGATTCACTTTAAAGGCCTATCATTTAAAGAACTGAAGTGCTCTGAGATAAACAAGCTTGCATTCTGTATTAGAAAAGGAGTCTTCCTATCCTATATTATAACATCAAGGCCAACACAGAGAACTGGAGAGAGACTTTGGGATTTTTGTTGTGACACATAAATAGCTCATTTTTTGCACTTAATAACCAAACATATAAAGAATAACACCTGTCAAAAATAAGTCAATTCCCACCCGGGGCATAATGTAAGAAAATTAATCTGCACACTTCCAAAGAAGACTGTTTGTAAGCATGAATGTGCAGAAAATCACTTGGAATAAATCCTGTCAAGCTCCCCAATAAATGATACCTCATACCACCACTCCAGTAATAATAAAAAATTTAATATACTTTAATATAGCAATGGTTTAAAGCCTTTTTTTTTTCTTTAAGGAAAACAACCATATTAAAGAATCGAGTTCCCAATGGGAATGGAGAAGTTGCCCCACATATAAACTTAATGTTATTTTTAAATTACACCAGGTAAGAGATTTTTGTCTAGATTAAAAATGACTGGCCTACAACAAAGATGAGGGCAAATGCCTTTCTTCCCATACCACAAACCTAGCAGCTTATTTTATTCTTCAGTATCAGTAACTACAATCAAAGACAAGCACATTTTACCTTTGGATTTGGATGAAGATCGTTCTTAGAGAGATTTTTGCCATCTGCTCCTGTTAATAATTTATTGCGAATATGAACCACAATCTCAGCTACGTTGTATCTGGGGAACGACAGAGTTTCCATTATGGGAGTTTCTTCCTAGTTTGAAAGAAGAAAAACAAAGATCAGAAACATACACAATGAATAATTCTTATTGTTTGGAAACAGATACTTAGTAGAAAAAAGGAACAAGCTGTGTTTGAACTGTTTATAGTAGTGTTATCTTCAAATATCTGAGTGAGGTAGAGAATTTTAAGCCAGGCATGGAAATGCACACCAGTGATCCCAAAACTTAAGAGGTGGAGGTAAAAGGACCAGAAATTCACACTAATAGTTAAAATAGTTTTAAAATCTAATTCAAGGCCAGCTTGGGCTACACAAGACTTTGTCCTCTGTACATATACAAACATAAAATGAACGAAAGCTTGTGTTTTATCCTAAAATAACTTTTATTGCAAAGTAACAGCCATTTTCTATTAATTTCCCTAATGTTCTCTTCCATAAGGGATAGAGGTTTTGAGATGACATACAATAGAACAATTATGTTGCTCTCTTTTTACATGAGGGCCAGGGCATTTAACAAGATGCTGAGAACTATTTCTCAAAGCTCAAGACAGGCAGTATCGGCAGCAGAAGCTACATACAAGCAACACTACACAAAGTGGAAAATAAAACTGGATTTTATTTGATTGTATTGATATCCTACTCAATACACACATAGTGAGATGACTAATACGATTTAAGATGCAAGAAGGAGAAAGAGCTGGAGCAGGAGAGGAAGAGGTAGGGAGAGAGGGTGAGAGACCAACTTTAAGGCAGAAATCCCTTTCAGCAGAGCAAAACTTAAAACACCTAAGACAGCAAAAACCCATGTGTCCCTATGTGTCCAGATAACAGATTATTCCTCCTGGTGTCTTCTTAAAATAATATTTGTCATAATTCTGTCTCCCTTACACATCCCAGGGTACAACTTGGCAGTGTTTGGAGCTATTTCAGTTGTAGGACAAAAATCCAATGGCTAGAGGCCAGGCATTCTGCCAAATTCCCCACAATGCTTCTATGGTCTCTCACTGCAGAGTTGTCTATCCGAAAGGTCATTACTTCCCAGTGTGAGCTGAGACCCAGCGTGGACATACTCAATTCTGCAAACAAACTGAAATGGCTCATGGCTTACAAGTTTCAAAATTTACTTTAGACTCTCAATGTTTCTTAGAACAAGCATGGCTAAAACAGCAGCTCTGGAAACGTGTCTATCCTCCCAATAAATGGAGGATGCCACCTTAAAACACGATTGCCAAATATCATCATGATTTTGCTTGAACCCTTCAAAACACCACAGACCCCAGGAACTCTGAAGGCTACTTCCTCTATTTTGGGTGGCTCTAATAATCAGAAGACTCTGCTACACTGCTGAGAAATGCTGCTGTAATCTCACTACTGCCCTATTCTTCGTCACTCAACTGCATCGCCCCCTATTTACAGGACACTGCTTTAAAAAAAACATGAAGCTGTGATGTCCCTTCTAAGCCTTCTTTGCTACAAGATTAAATACTTGCTTGCACGTGACCATTCCTTCATGTCACTATTTTTGGAAACCTTACCATTTGTGAGAGACAAATACACCTTTTCCTACTTGTGCAACAAAAATCAGTACGGATTTGTACCTAAAATGGAAGTGGCTTCCGGCAAGTATCAAGCAGACAGCGATTATGTAGTGGACACCACTAGGTCAGTAATGTCAGAATCCACAGGTTGAGGGTTTAATCTTCACCCTGCTCCTGACACAATGGTCACAAGTCCAGGTGGTTTCCCTTAGGCTTCTGACAGCCTACCGCATAAACACTGGAGTTCCTAGCATGCCATCTTTAGATTTGATTCATCTGCTACAACAGCTCAGGAATAAAAAAAATACCTACTGGCTCAATACAGAAGATATCATGAGGGATGATACTAGAAGAAGAGACAGCCAGGGCCAAGTATGAGAGAGGGACTTGCAAACCACAGGAACCACAAGGTGTCTGGCTATCCCAGAGTTCCTCAAAAATCAGCCCTTTAGGATTTTTACAAAAAGTTTTATCATGTACGTATGATTGATTTTATCGATGCCAACAACTTCCGGTCTCTCCCTTCCCCAGGATCAGGGGATGGGAGTGGAATGTCTAACCCCATAAACTGCCTTAGTCTTGTGGTAACCAGTCCTTCCCCTAAAGCAGCCAGAGGCTGCCAGGCAACAGCTAACCATTAACATACAAAAGTTCACTTATCACTGCGAGGATTCCAAGGATTTCTGGATCTATATAGCAAGAACTGGACAATGACAAAATGTGCACTTCACAGTATCACACAGCCCTGCTTACATTGTTACTCATTGTTAATATATTCCTTTGTGTTAGTCTATGCTTGTGTGCAGGTACATGTGGAAACAAGAGGCAGTCTCCAATTTTGTTTCTCAGGTGTGTTCACCTTTATTTATCTATTTATTTAGGTATAGCATTTAATTATTTATTTGATCATTAATTTAATTATTTATTCAAGTATTCAATGTTTCCTTTATTTATTTAAAGATATGGTCTCACAGGCTTAGGAGTCACCAACTAGGCTAGGCTGATGGACCACCAGGGGTTTCTGCCTGTCCCCATCTCCACAATGCTGACATTATAAGTAAATACCACCATGCCTAGAACTTTAGGGAAAAGTGGGGCCCAGGAGTTGGTTCCAGGTCTTGCCTTTCCAAACTGAGCTATTTCCCCAACCAGTCAATATCTTTTTAAACATATAATATCAAATGAATTCAACACCGCAGACACAGTCAGTCTAGGAGCCGCCTCTACTGACTGTGGGTAACTGCTGTACTCAGGTAGAAACATATTTACAATCCAGTGAAAGAAACCCTAAGAGTTCAACAAAAGCCTGGATTTCCCCCACACTCTTCTTACATAATTATTTGAACGTCCAGCTATGATTCTTATTTTCTACTACTGAATTTCATAACTGCAAACTTTTATTTCAGAATTAGAATCACCTCAGATCTAGATTAGGACCCTTCACACATTAGCCATTTATTTCAGCATGAGTGTATGGGAAAGTAAAATAGCCTACCCTAAGTACAGTTGTTTGATGTGTTTCAAGAAGCTATAGAACCTCTGCAGACATAGGAAAGGCCCAGCAAGGCTCTTCTGTAGAAAGAAATATATAGATATTTACATTAAAAAAGAGTATAAGCAGGCAGAGGCTTCTCTATGGGATAGTTTCCTCTCTGCACAGGAAAGCTCTCTGCACAAGAAAAGACTGCTTCTGATCCCTGCCCACGTACGGGTCACCATAGGTGCAATGACATGAGAGACTTCATCAGTAAACAAGACAGCCTTCATTTGCTGTGTGCCTCCTCCACAATTCCAAACCCCAGTCACTTCCTTTCCCTAAGAAGCCATAGTCCTATCCCCTAACTATCTCTTTATAAGCTCTGGCCTGTCTACTCCTCCTTTGTGTTTAGACACATATTAGATTCTGGGCATTTTCTTTCAATATTCCGAGGTCAATTTATTTCTCAGATTAAAATGATCAAGCTTTCCAGATGGGGGAAAGAGTAAATAACCATTCAATATTTTTCATGTATGTCTCAGTTTCGAAGTGGCTTGTAAGAACATTACAAAGGTTACTAGCAAAAACAAGATACACCTAGATCAGAGGATTTAACAGTAGGAAGAGTGGGCATAAAATTATAATCACATGAGTCAGGCATGGTGGTGCATGCCTTTAATCACAGCACTCAGGTGGCAGAGGCAGATGGATTGCTGTGAGTCCAGAACAGCCAGGGCTATACACACAGAGGCCTGTCTTGAAAAACCAAATAATAAAAAATTATATATACATATATTATTTATATATATAATCACACACCCTTCTCTGCTGTCAGACTAATCCTTATAAAACATCAAATTCAAATGCTTTCAAACATTCAATCCACTCACCTACCACACAAACTCCAACCTATTCAGCTTAAGTTTCTAAAGCCTTTAATGTTCTAATGCTCTTTCTGGTCCAAGATAATCTCTTCCAAGGCTTCTCCTAAACTCCCAATGTTTCATTACACTTGTCTGGGGATTTCTGAGAACCAGTGTCCCAACCTAAAGCTACCATGAAGCTTACACCTGCACTTGGTAGTAATAATGCCCTCTTCTCATATGCAAAATCTGTCTTTTTTTTTTTTCTTACAGTGCAATTTCAGTTCCAACTCATTCGAGTGCGTGCGTGTGCGTGTGTACAGACAGAGGAAAAGCTCTCCTCACTACATAGTTTGAGCTCCTGGCTCAGACTAAAGTATTCTAAATACAGTAAAATGACTTTGTGACATGTTAGCTCAAATAGAACACATCAGCGCTCATGACTTCCGTTTCTCCTTTATTTCTAACACTACAAATGAAGCACAGCGTGTACTGGAATAACTGTTAAATTTTATACATCTGGTTTTGCAATGCGAAATTAAGCAAGCAGCTCCCAATTTTAATGAATTAAATTAACAAGTTCCTTGAAATCAGGGGGAGTGCCTTGTGTTACACACGTGTAGAGCCATATACACTAAGATCCCTGACTTTTGGATGAAGTATAACATTCTTGCTTTTTGATTCATGGTGTGTGTGTGTGTGTGTGTGTGTGTGTGTGTGTGTGTGTGTAATCAAGAGATGGTGGAGCAATGGAGATACATAGAAAACTGACAAACATTCCCAACCAAACACGTCTCACTGACGTCACTCTTGTGGCTCACACCTGTAACTTCATCACTTGGAAGGCGGAAGCGGTAGTCAAGACTAGCCTCGGGTACCTACAGGATTCGAGGCCAACCTGGGATACAGGATACTGCCTCAAATCTACACACAGCTTAAGTTAGCGAACCCAGGTACCCTAACCCCTGGCCTCCTCCCCGTCCTCCCGCGCCCGCTCGCACTCACCTGCGGCCCCAGCAGCTCCCGGAAGAGCAGTCGCAAACCGAGCTACTAATCCAAAACCACCGACCGTTGTCACTTTTCAAAACAGCCGCCTTCGCAGACGAAGCCCGCCCCTTTCCGCAGAGCGCGTTTCCTTCCCGACGGGTGCCCGGAGGGCTCAGAAAACCCACGGTAGGTGGGGCTTGAAGCGCGTCTCCGCGCTCCCGGACGGCGGAACCATCGTTCAGGGAGGTGGCTTCTAGTCGGAGCTGCCCCTCCGCCGGACAGGAAGACGCAGCTGCTGGGGGCGGAGTTCCGGGAGGTGTTTACCCGGTGGTCGGAGACTTTCTATGGTGTCCCGGTTAGGGGGCAGACGGTTTCTGGCCTCTTCTGTTAGGCTCAGAGAGTGAGAAAGGTCAAAGGATGCGTTGTTCTCAAGTGAGTCAAAGGCATTATAGCGAATCCTGAAGTAGTAATAACAATGTCACTGTTTGATAAGCATTGATGGGGTCAGGTTCTGCACTGGATACTTGTACACCTCACTTCACTTAAGGTTCATGAAAGCTTAGGGGCGGGAACGCGAATGGCTGCATAGACTTTTTTTTTTTTTTTTTTTTTTTTTTTTTTTTTTTGCCTTAAAAGAACTTTCTGCATTAAAGAGATTGCGTAAGTGACCCAAAGCCGCCTACAGTAGTTCAAAAGCTAGAATTTGGGCACAGATGATCGGAGTCCTCGGTAAGCAATGGGAGATGGGAGGCGCCAGATAGTTTGTCTAATCGGGTTTTCTCTCTCTCACATTCAAGAAGTCGGCTCCGAGAACTTGGAATGATCTGGAGTAAATCTAAGACTCTGGATCTTATTTTCTTCCTGTCTCCTATAATTTCTCCTCTGGAGCCAGACACCACAAGTGCTTTCTACAGATTAAGGAAATAGTCCTAGCTGCTTCATGTGAAGTATATACTATAAATTTAACAGATGGAAGTTATATTGGAATTTAAATTATTTACAAAATAAACTAATGGTTTATTTAAATTTCTTAATTACAACAATAAGACAGATTTTTTTCCCTCCCAAAATCAGTTAACTAAAAATGGCCCTTTTTAGAATTGTGTGTGTGTTAATGACTGTGTAAGCACATGTGTATATGTGCATACGGAGGGCAGAAGACCGCCTCAGGTGTTGGGTTTCGTCCTGGAGACACAAAGTGTTCTTTGTACTATAGTCTTTCCTTGGCCTGAGTTTACCAACGCTGTCTCCACCTCCTCAGTGCTCGGATTACAAGTTCATACCACCATGACTGTTTTGGAGAACTAATGCAGGCCTAGTGCTTGTGAAGCAATCTATTTCACCTTACTGGCTGGACTAACTCAGCAGACCAATACTTATCTTTTTTGAGGTGAAAGATGGAACGGCAGAATTCTCACAATACACTTTCTAGGGTTTGTTTGTCACCGTAAAGGTACTAACTATAGTGGAAAGTTACATTCCAACACAGAGATGCCCTTCAGCAAATGATGATATTAGATCTCAATAAACACATTATAAATCAAAAATGTTCTGTGTAAATTTGTTTTATACGCTTAACATACCGAGCAGCAAAATCTACGAACACACTACACAGTATGAGATGCTGTACTCTTGATCATATGGCTGCCACAACCCAGCCTATAGAGAAAGTACTGTCACTCTTATTGGTGTCCTTTGAAATTTGAAGCCATTTCTATCAAATGTGTATTTTTGTTATTATTGAAAAGTCATAAGTGAAAGCTTCATAATTGAGAACAGTTGTATGCTCCCTGGCTGTCTTCTTTCCCTTCCTCTATGCCAGTACACATATGCTGTCTATTCTTTGATAGAGCCTGAGCCTCTCTTCCTGGCATTACCTTTCAGCACAACACCCTACTCACCTCCAACATAAAGCCCAGCTCTATAGCCTGCTATGATAGGACCTTCAGGGTCTTGGCACTATTTACTTCTTTTCTCCCATTCTACCTACCTATTCCTGACAATGTTTTCGATATACTCTGAGACATTTCCTCATTTTTTTTTAAGTTTTATTTTTCTCATTAGTTACATTTTGTTAATTCTGTATCCCAGCTGTATCCCTCCTTCCCTCCCCAGTCCCACCCTCCCTCCCTCATCTCCTCCCTGCCCCTTTCCAAGTCCACTGATAGGGGAGGACCTCCTCCACTTTCATATGACTACGTTTTGTCAGGTATTTTCAGGACTGGCTGCAAAGTCCTCCTCTGTGGTCTAACAGTACTGCTCCTCCCTTGGGAGGTGGGGAGGTCAAAGAGCCAGTCATTGAGTTCCTGTTAGAAATAGTCCTTGTTCCCCTACTATGGGAAACCAATTGATTACTGAGCTATCACGGGTCACATCCGAGCAGAGGTTCTAGGTTTTATCCTCTTATGGTCTTTGGTTGAGTGTCCATCTCAGAAAAGACCCTGTGCCCAGATATGTTTGCATTTCCTCATTTTTATTGACTGTCAAACTCCTCTATATCCTTAGCTATTTTTCACAGAGTTTCAAGAAGCTTCTTCTTATATTTTATTTGGAATTAGTTGACTTTTCCCCATGTTTTCATGAATTTCATTATTGAAATATACTCATTGAGTTCCAGTTCGTGCTGAAGAGTAAACTAAATTCTGAAGTGTATTGATAAACAAGCAAATATGGTAATACCCAGTAACTTCTCTGATAGAAATTATATTCTCATAGGGGGGAAAAGAGAAGCACAATTTTACAACGGGAAGCAATTCATTGTGATGGGCTACGTGTTTGAGAATAGCAGAGGATTCTTAGGACTAAAGGATGAAAAACAAGGGTTCTTTATGGAGGTGACATTAGGGAAGGCTTGATATTGCAAAAACAGAGACTCTAGACAGAACCAGAGGGAATAGGGACCAGGGCAGGAATTGCTCTGGTACTGTTAAGGAATTTGAGCACCTTCCTAAGGGTAATCCAAGTCCAGAGAGATTTAGCATCTTGAGATTTGGTTGGATCAGGCCTCTCTACCAAAAAGTAGAAGAGTGGCAGGAGTAGGGGGAGGGAAACCAGTTAGAGGATGAGTATAATGAACCAGGTAAATGAAAACGGCAGCCTGTATAACAGGTCAGGGCCTACATGGCTAGAAGCAGATCCAGAAAATTTTAGGCAATGGATATGGATGAATTTGATGATTAAATTATAAACACCAATGCAAAGTGGGAGAAAAATCAAGGATGGATCCCATTGCCCAGGTTGCTACCAGGTATCCACAGCTTGGCACAATTCCCTGTATATTACAGATATTTAATAAATACCCACAAGTGAATGAATTTTCTTTGCTTTAGCACCTTGGCAACTGCGGTACCGTTTTCTGATTTGGGTAACACAGAGACTTGGGGGTGACTGGTGGTTTCAGTTTTAAAAATATATCTACCTCTGGATGCCTGTGAAACACACCTGACACTATCCAGATCATGTTAATCAGTTAAATGATGTGAAACTCAAGGAATATCAGAGGTGGAATTTTTCTATTTAAGATAAAAACAAAACAGAATTATTTCATATCATTGTGATCCATTTTGTGTCTGTCTCCACTCAAGTTTATTCTTAGTACTCAAGGCTCCCCAACACCTGACACTATCTTCTACACACTGATACTCAGGTGTTTGTTATTGAACTGACGTTTGCTTTTAAAATACAACAAATCTTTTCCCATTCATTCATTTATTCATTCATTATTGTGTGTGTGTGTGTGTGTGTGTGTGTGTGTGTGTGTCAGAGGACAACTTTCAAGAACTGGCCCTCTTTCCACTGTGTGGGTTCCAGGGATGAACTTAAAGTCACTCGGCTTAGTGATAACCATCTTTAGCCACTATGCCATCTTATCAGCGCAAGAGCCACTTTTTGAAAATGGTGCCTCTGACAGGGGAAAGAAATACTAAATAGCCTCAAGAACAGGTTTTAAAAAATAATATGTACTTTGGTTCTTTTTGTGGTCCTCATATGTTCATATTTTCTATGAGAAATAAAGGATGACAAAAAAATCACTCAGTTTTTCCAATTTGAAAACAATATCCCACTGTTTGATGTGAAGTAGGATATTCTAATGCTATCTGGTCAGTTAGCATTTGATCACATCAGTGGTTGATTTATTCATGCTGTTGTGGTATCATTGATAACGTCATTCAGCTCACTCCTGAAACATGAATAATATTTACTAATGTCTCAAGAAGGATGACCAGCCATGAATAGAAATCTGAAGTGAAGTAAGTTACAAAAACCCATTTTATAGTAAGGACATCCAATTTAAATCTTTACCATTTTTGAGAAATCAGTGAATATGAGGAAATACATAAACATACAATAATACGATTCTACACTTGCCAAACGTCTCAAATGAGTGAAATCACTAGTTCATCTCACCAGTGAGCCATTACAGGCTTGCTCTCATTACAGGTAACACAGAGCATACAGAACTCTTTATTCATGGGTATTATAATATCCTTTGAATATCTTTCCCTGTTGGTCTTCAATAAGTAGGTAAGAGGTGTGATTGTTATATTCTTGAACTAATGTTTTAGAGCAAGGTTTCATATAAATAGCTGAAGCATAGTTACACTGAAAATACAGCATACTAACATGGAAAATTCTAGTTGACACAATTGTGTGTCCAGTATGTCCACTGGGTGGCGCTGCTGTATTGATTTTAACCTTATAGCCTTTCGTTACAGTTCCTTTTATGTAAGTAATCAGAACTACAGTGATAAACATCGGACACAATGTTCTGGATTAATAAAAAATAGATTCTAAATTTATATGCTTTAAAGTACATAGTAAGAGTCCTGACTCCAGAAAAAAAAATAGTATTAAATTCAAAATAGTTGTCTGCATTTTATTTCTCTTTAATCATTCCAGACTTGTTAATCTGCTTGCCTCCTCAGCCATGTTCATCTTTATGAGAGGTTTTGGAAATTGAGCTATACATTTGAAATACTTTAGGCAGTATTTGTTTTAAGGACCATATAGTCTGAAGCTGTAAAATATTTAACCCTTGCTGTTTGTGATGACCTCTAAATAAATGAAAAGAAGAACAGATTTGACATTGTG